TATGGTTATCTAATCAGTTGTATTTTCTTCTTATACCTGGATAATTTTTGACTGATATTTACTTTTATTGTTTTTTAAACATTAAACATAGTATGCAGTGCTTTAGGTTTATCTCAACCTTCAATTTGATCTCCTGACTAAAGGTAACCCAATTATAAAGTTATATTCAGTCCATTGTTGCTTATTGTTAAATAAAAGTCATAAAAACGTACAGAATTTCAAAAAAGTTTGATATATTTATACAAATTTTAAAATATATTTTATTGTTTAATTTTATAACATGGAACTGTTATTAAACAAAAATTAATAATGTGTTATTATTTGTTGTTTAAAAAGTATTAAACAATATACTGAATATTCTGTTACTTATAACAGACTAAATATATTAATTTTCCATCAGATATAATGACAAAATATTTAGTGACTAGTTAACTAATTTTTGAAAATATGTTGCAATGTATTTATTAAATATTGGTAACCAATAAATTAGTACTCATGAAAATTTATCTAAATTTTAATGTGTGAATACTCTCGGCGTTGAGAGTATAGTTAACATAATTAAATGAAATGATTAATAACAAGCATTTAGTTTTATGTTTGAATTATGTTATTTTATAAAATATACAATAATAGTGTATATTATGAATAGCCCAACGATTTCAAGTTCAGATCTCTGGTCGAGAAGATCTCACGCCAAGAATATCAGCGAAGACTCCATCAAAGAGGCTCTCAGTCTAAGCCATCGATAAGAAGATTTTGAACAAACGGTTTGTTGTTTTTGACAAAAAATATTTTTATTAAATGAAAAAATACATTAGTTTTGTTGTGCGAAATGTCTTTACATTGATTTATATATAACACTGATTTTGAATCAAATGATTTTAAAAATATATATAATTTTTAAATTTATATAATGAAAGTAATGATTGTGTAATGAAAGCGCTGTAAAAAGCGTTAAATACTGGTAACAGTTTTGTTAATTTTTTAACAAAAAAAATATAGTTTTCTCACGAAATCAGAAAAATTGCAATAAATTATTAGATAAATAGGCGTTTCATTTCACTATTGATTCTAATGGACAGAACTTTGGACGTTATATAAGTCATAATAAGCGCCTCTTTTGGCGATCAACTCGTGATGACTGCCCTCTTCGACATGGAAAGGAAATAACTGCTGTTGATAAAACAGCCGCAACACATTAGTCGACAGTCTGTGAGCGATCACAATACAGGTCCTGCCCTCCCGGGCCTCGTCCAGAGCGTCCTGTACTACCTGTTAAGTTGCCATTCAGTGTTAGATACAAATACAGTATTACTAAATGATACTAAATCATATACTAAATGAAGACAAACCTTTTCGCTCTCGGCGTCGAGAGCACTGGTGGCCTCGTCTAGCAGTAGTATTTCCGGGTCGCGGATCAGCGCCCGCGCGATGGCTATCCTCTGCTTCTGACCGCCACTAAGTTGAGTCCCTTTATCGCCGACGGGTGTGTCGTAACCCATTGGCAGTGATTTTATAAATGAATGAATGTTTGCCTTCTCTGAGGCCCTTATGATCTCATTTAACTCCACTTTGCGATCGTTGTCTCCGTACGCTATATTCTCGGCTATACTGTAGCCAAAGAGCACCGGCTCTTGGGATACAATTCCCAACTTTCGTCGAAGCCATGGAATATTCAGATTTACGATATTATTGTTATCTAAACTCTGGAAATAAATTTTTTCATTAATATTATTATATAATTAAAATTATATTATTTTAAATACTAAAGCATTGAGATAATTGGGATTGATGAGTTCAACAATTCAATTGTATTCAACAAATAAATGCTTACAACTTCTCCGCCGTCGGTGTCATAGAATCGTTGTATGAGTTGAATGATTGTACTCTTCCCGCAACCACTCGAGCCCACCAGTGCTACTGTCTGTCCCTTTTGCACATCAAAGCTAAGGCCTCGCAATACCTTCACATTAGNATAAATGCTTACAACTTCTCCGCCGTCGGTGTCATAGAATCGTTGTATGAGTTGAATGATTGTACTCTTCCCGCAACCACTCGAGCCCACCAGTGCTACTGTCTGTCCCTTTTGCACATCAAAGCTAAGGCCTCGCAATACCTTCACATTACGTCGGGTCGGGTAAGTGAACTGCAAATCATTGAATCTAACGTTTCCCTCGCATTTTGTTGGCTTATCTCCCGTTAAGGCATTGACCAGTATTTTAGGCATTCTGTCCAACAGTTTGAATATATGAACGGCCGCTACTCTACCCTTTTGATAGTCCGGCGCGAATGCTATACAAAGTTTTCAATGCAAAATTGTTTAATTATGTCAACGAATCTTCGCTTTATCATCGCTTACCCACTGCCTGACCAACCATTGCTGTACCAAATATGACGGCTTCAACACTCCTGAAAAGTTTTTAAAATTAGAGTTAACTCAATCTTTATGTGATAATCATTTGGTAACAAAAGCATACTTAAAGAGATCGCCGTAATTGAGTTCCTGATCGACAATAAGTTTACTGCCGTAGAGAAGAGCGATAGCATAGGAGAAGTTACCCATACTTTGGGCGATACCAAAGGTTATTCCTCTGAGATGTGCCCGGATTTTGGACTTTTTAAACTGTTTCTCCAAAGCGTTGCTATAATTGTCGATAAAAGCATTTTCCTGATGAAGGGATGCAACCGTTCGGATACTACTGATGGCTTCCACAGCAATCTATTCATGTAATAAAAAATATATTGTAAAAATTACAGTAAATGTTATTGTATTTTAGATGCACTGACCGATGAGGCGTCTTCCCGTGACTTTTTATCTTTAGTGATTTGTCCGCTAATTATTTTCATTTGGAAATAAGTGGATGCGATCACCAAAGGTATGAAACAGATTATAACGAGTCCTAACTTCCAACTGTAGTACAGCGCCAGTACAACACCGGCGCCCAAAGTGGACACCGCCTGACAAAGAGTAGATAATCGGGAACCGGCGGCCTATCGAATGATTCGTTAAGTTTTAGTAATTCATTAAACAATTGCATAATGTCTTACGCCCTGAACGCTGGACGCATCTGCCGATAGTCTGGAGCAAAGAGCACCCGTACTGTTGTCGCGCTCATCAAACCACGACACCTCCTGCTTCAACATTGTTGTGAATACCATTTTTCTGAGTCTCATTGTTAACCGTTCGCCGCAAATGCCAAACATATAAATCTTTGCAATTAAATCATAAAATATATAAATTTACTTTTATTTCTTCAAAAATAGCATAGATTTCATTGAATACCTGTAGAAATGCAGCGATTGATGTGCCGATACCCATCGCTACGAAACACATTGAATACAAGAGCACATCCTTCTGGATCTTATCGGTCGAGCCTTGAGATAGTGTTCCGAGGATTTCGCCAAAAACGATGGAAAAGGCGGGTATTGTTAGACCCATAAGGAATGCCATAACACTTCCTAATAATATGAGATATTTATCCGGTTTCAGTAAACCAAACAATCGGACCAATGAGGGCGACTCCTTCTTCTCTTTGATGGCAACACTTGATTTTCGGCGCAGATCTATGTCTTCACTCCGACGGCTCTCAATACTGAAGGCGCGGATGAGCTCTGGCTTAACGACTCCGTTGGTCACTACCGTCGCATCCGCTTCGGTCTCAATCGTCTCGTTCTCGTCTTCTTTTTGTTGTTGTCTTTTAACTAAATTATAATACAAGCCTTCGGTAGCCATGAGTTCCGCATGACTGCCCACTTCATCCACTTTACCGCCGTTTATCACAAATATCTTATCCGCGTATCTAATGGTTGACAGTCTGTGGGCGACAATGAAAGTGGTTCTCCCAATACTGGCCCTATCGAGTGCCGCCTGAACTATGGACTCGCTTTGCGTATCCAAAGCACTGGTAGATTCGTCCAGAAGTAATATTTTCGGTTTCCTCACTAAAGCTCTGGCGATGGCTATCCGTTGCTTCTGACCGCCGGACAGTTGAGATCCTCTTTCGCCGACCAAAGTCTGGAACTTTTGGGGCAATCGTTGTATAAAATCAAAGGCATTGGCGTCGACTGCGGCCGACTCTATGTCCGGTTGATTGGCTCGACTGTAACCCAGTTTTATATTCTCGGCTATTGAACAGCCGAAGAGAACCGGTTCCTGACCCACGACTCCGATGTGATCTCTAAGCCATCCGATGTTCAAACTTTTGATATCTTTGCCGTCGATTAACACCTGTCCGTCACTCACGTCATAGAATCGTTGAATGAGTTGAATGACTGTACTCTTACCGCAACCACTCGGGCCGACCAGAGCTACAGTCTGTCCGGGCTCTACCGATAGGCTCAGTCCGTTCAGTACTGTCACATCAGCTCTGGCGGGATAACTGAAGTGTGCGCTCCTTATATCTACCCTTCCCTTCAAGTCTTTAATCCGTTCTCCGGTTTCGGAACTGCTGTCGATCTCTGGTTTGCGTTCAATCACTTCAAATATAAGAGCGGCCGCACCTCTCGCCTGAGCGAAGGCCTCGAAATAGGGTGTTGTCTGACCGATGCTGAAGGTGCCCATCAATACCGTAAAGAAGACAATTAACATAGTGCTCGCCTCATACTTATGGTTGTTCTCCTCAACCGATCGCACAATCAGTTTGACGCCATACCAAAAGGCCAGACCATAACTACAGTAAATACATAACCACATCATTCCCAGTCCCAGACCAGTGAATAGTGTCCGCCGGACTCCGCTTTTCTTCGCCGGCTCTAAATTCTTGTCGTATCTCAGAATCTCTTTCTGTTGTCCATCGAATGCATAGACAGTCCTAATGGCGCCCAACACCTCTTCAGCCACAGCACCCGCTTTGCCATAAGAATCCGCTTCTGTGGTTGAATAGCGCGCCTGAATCTGTTTGGTTGACAAACAAACACAAAATTGATTTATTATTTTACCTGAAAGTATATCTAAAGTTAACAAGAATTAGTAAATTAGACAAACCTTTGCTATAATACTGAATGAAATGATGAGGACAGGTGTGACGGACAGTATAACTAATGTAAGTTCCCATCCATAATAGAAAGCGGTTCCCAACGAACACAACACCGTTGAGAATGAGAATATACAGAGAGCCACCTAATCATGGAGGGAGCACACAATTCAGTAAATTAGATAAATTACTTATAATTTTACAACAAGTTTATGTTTAAATATTTTAATATTTTATCCAAAGTTATTAAAATTTTTATGCAATAAATCTAAACTACAAATTGTTTTTGTAATTAATCTTTGTATTAGAAGACCATTAGTTTATAGTAACAAATAATTAGACAAAGAATACAAACCTTATCTCCGACTCCCTCTTGAAGTTTGTCCAAATCACTAATAAAACGATAAATAAAACATTTTTAATTAATTGTATTTTATAATACTATTACGCAATTATAATTTATAATCTCAATATTATAATAAAGTTAATAAAAATAATATATGACAATAATGCCATAAATCTAGTGAAAACATACGCGGTCACTTTGGTGGCGAAATCTCCCGACGTCTTTGTGTCAAACCAACTGATATCTTGTCTAAGAATTGATCTGAAGAATAATATCCGTATGCGTTGTGCCTGATTGTTGGCCGCAGTGCTGAACGTCGCGACCATTACATAACCGCACACCAAGAAAGCAAAGCCTACGCCTAACATCATATAACTCCAAAAGTAGGATTCAGTTATAAAAACGTCCTCAAAGTCTTTGTGTTTAAAAAATACGGTCCGATTGAGTGCTTCGGCGAATGAATCGTTTGACAATTTGAGCCGAATCTGAATCACTTCCAAATCCATGAGCGGAAACTCTTTAAATATAATGTCGAGGAATTGTGTTTTGTCGTGTATTTGTGTCAAATTCTTCTCGTAAAAGTCACCGGTTTTCCATTTGTATAACTGATTGTATATCTCGTACTCAACAAAAGTGTCGGTCAGTTCTCCCATAAAAATCATAAGTGCCGGCAGTCCGGCACCAATTGCTATCGAGAATAGCGTACCGATAAATATCCACATTTTGTCCATTCCTGACGCATAGGCAAACTATTCGTATGTACGGGAAATCAATTTTAATATTCATTTTTACATAAAAAATTAATTATAAGCATAACAACTGCATAAATAGTTGGTTTTGTAAATAATAATAATCTATAATCTCTAATTATAATTTTTTTTAATCATTAATAAGAATTTCAATTATTTTGTGTGTATACTCTTGCGATAAAACTAATAAACATTGTTATTTGTTTCAAGGTTTTAGACAAACAACTAATAAAATAAATAATTCACAGAATCTAAGGCCAGAATATGGAGTACAGAATAATAGCAACGAATAAATTAAATGCAAACCAGTTTGAAGAATCCCGTCGGTGCTCTCTTCTCCTCCCCATCCTCTGCCTCTTTATCATCTTTTTTGTCTTTTTTCTTATCACTAAATATACCAAAAGGTCATCAATTAATTAATTTTTCATCAAACAAATCACAATCAATTGTGTATTGAAAACAATGTGATAAATACTGACCCATCACTACTTGTCTTATTAGACATGATATGAAAACACGTTTAAAGATTCACTAAACAAACAAAATTATATTAGAAATACAAATCACTTCAAAAAGTGACCGAAAATTATAAAAGAGAAGTGTTTGAGTGAAGAGTTGTTTCTGTAATGAAGTAATGCATTGAAAAATGCAGTCATGAAATACTCAGCAATTCTGTGTGGAATATATAGAGTAATGAGTGGTAATCAATAAAACAGTGTAGAGTTTTTTCGTTTGGATACTCAAACTCGTGGTAAATCTTATCGTAAAAACATTAATAGGTATTACAAAGTCTAACAAAGCGATGTACATTGTTTTGTAACATTGTTTGACAAAGTTTTTGGTTTAATCAATTAATTGGTAACTCATAGTATACTGTGTTTTATTTTACAAATGTTAGTGAAAGTGTTGAGTATCACATAGTTGTGTGAAAATAGCGCTAAATATCACATCAAAAATGTGTTAATGCGGGGATTATTTGCATTAAAATCTGATGCAAAAGCTTAACTCAATTACAAAAAAATATCACATTGTTGAAAAAACAATTTTACGTGATTGTAAAGATTACAGCAATTTAGTGCATTTAAGTCACTGTTGCACAACATTGAATGGTTCATGTTCAATTTGTAGTCCGAGTTGTACTGATCACGTTCATTGAGTTTTGTGTGATCTATTGTTAAAATTATATGATATTCTTATCTAATCATTTATGCACTTTTCACCCATACCTGCATTAGTTTTAGATGCAATTTACTTTCATTGCTATTCTAACATTAAACTCACCCTATTTAGTGCATTGGGTTTAACTTAACCTTCACTTTAATTGCTCTCTTGTCTAAAATAAACACAATTATAACGTTATTCAGTCATATTATAGCAGAATCTATCAGTTTGTGTCATAAAAGGCGAGCATTTTTTTCAAGAGGTTTGCGGATATACTGTATTCACATAAATTCCTATTGCAAACACATTTAGTCGAATTGTTATTAAACAGATATTACAGTATAGTAAGTTATAAATTGTACTGTAGTACTGTATAGTAAGTTATAAATTATAACATTATTTTCGTGTTCATACTTTTAACACATCCAGAATATTCTGTTACTTATAAATTATTACAGAAATGCATTTAAAATATTAGTTTTGTTTCAGATATAGAGACACAGAATTTAATGAATGAATGAATGAATGGTACAAAATGTATGAATAATTTATTTTTAGATTTTTGTTTATAATGTCATCAGAAAGTAGTGTAAACTCGAAGGAATTGAATAAATAAATGGCATGAAATGTATGACTTCTATACCATTATTATTATTATTATTTGTGAATCCCTTTGACGTCAAAAAATCGATTTTTAGCTTTCATTTCATGTAAACTACAGATTATATTCTGTCATAAATTATATTCTGTTATTCAATGAGTATATAAAACCATTAAAACAAGTCATTAAATATTGTTGTCTTTCTTTATTTTATTGAATGAAATCAATACAAATTATAGCGTATTTGCATTGAATCTAAATTCATTGCATTTGAAAATGTTTTGGCCATCAATTGATGCCGTTGTTTATGACAATATTTTGATTGGATTGAAGTTAAGTCCAAATCAAATCAAACAAGATTTCAATTTATTAGACAATAAGACTTCTATTTAAATGAACAAAAAACTTAAGTTTTCTATGATTTAGAGATTGTTTTACAAAAGAAAAGAGAAAACAAATTTTGAATTAATAAAAACTTTTTCGTAATTTCAAATCAAATCAATCGACATTAAGTCTACTGCAAACTCGATGATTGAACGCCTCGATCACTCATCTCGTTCTCTAATCGTGTGACCAATCTTTTATAAATGCCGCCATCACTGCCATCGCTGCCATCACTTCTATCGCATAACCATTGATTAATATAACAATAATTGATTACTTAATAAATACCCGAAGATTTGTGTGAAGACATCATTTCCCAAGAGTTTGCGATACGGACTTTCCTCGTGAGTTAAGCGTTGTTTAAATTTAGTCAATTCTCTGATCACATCACGCATTTTCACCGCAATATCTCTGGCTTCTAAGTAGTGACGGCGTATTTGGGCCACACATTCGATCGCAACCTTCATGTTTTGAAAGTGTCTAATGGTATCAATGGATAAGTGATGTTAGTTTTGAGCACAAATCTAATTGAATGTTAAACACAATCTGTGGTTAATGTATGGGACGAGCGATTGTGGGCTTAAATCCATAGCAAATCTATCGATTTGTTTAAATGGAGGACAGGTATGATTGACCACCACTTGACTGTCCAATGCATTCATGTGTTGATTGTGTCCATAGGATGGGCGGACCTCAAGAGGGAAGTGCACACAACATAGTCAGAGGGTTTGTGTCCGCACCTAATCTGCCGCTCAATACGTCGACTCACCCGACGATTGCAACGCAACACCAAAACAATACTAACTATAACTCAACGCAACCACAGAAAGACAGTATGTCTTCGTCTGTGGCGGCGCCTAAGCTGTCGTCAGCTCTGGCCGTCGTTCCCAAGGCTGAGGCCGCGGACCGAACGACAGAGCCGTCGGGTTTAGAGCCGGTCAACGGTGTCGTACAGCCGCCGGTCGTCCCGCCGGACGGCAAACAACACCGAAACAATGTTTACCAACTGTTATGTGTATAACAAACCCGGAGAAGACGTCGTTCTTATGGCACAGACTCTCGAGAAGATGTTTCTCCAGAAACTGCAAGACATGCCTAAAGAAGAGACCGAAATAGCGATGCCTTCAGTGAAGGGACCGAAAGGCAAGAAAGGGAAGGGAAAGGGAGGCCCAGAGGGAGAGGTGAGACTCAACACATTCTTTACCATTTGATACACTATTTGTCGCATTTGTAATGCATTTTCAATGAAATTCAAAGTATTGTTTAAGCGTTACTTACGGATCCGGAAAGTCTTCCGATGCCAGACATCGTGAGAGATATGTGTTTATCTCCTCAATGAGAAGATATGTACCGCCAAAATGGGTCATTACTATTGATCGTTGTTGTTGTGGATCCGTTTCTTGTGTCCAAATTTCAAATATGTGTCTAACAATCAAATAATAAATTTTAATCAATTAACTCATAATAAGTGTTGCGATGAAAAACACTGACCTATCGATTGAGAAACCACTCATCAAATGAGTCAACTCTTCAATACTTAATAATCCTCTCATATTGTTATCAATTTATCAATCAATCAATGATTAATAAAATGCAATCAAAACAACAAATGTATGGAAAATGTGTAAAAAGTAAAACCAATTCAAAATGCGTTCACTTTGTCAGCACTTGTGATGACAACGCATGCGTTCAATACATGCATACAATGATTGAATGCATTGAATGCACGTTTGCTTAAGTGTTGTCAACACTTCCAACACATCCACACATAAACAATGGTATGATTTTAAATGAATGCTATAATTGTTATACAAAATGACATTATCTTCTCTGCAGAAGACGGCTCTTCAGATGAAAGCCATTCTGGAAAATGTGACAAATTTGAGACCAAATGGCGATGACTTTCGATGGTATCTAAAGGTTAGCCACGAAAGAGATAATTGTATTGGTATTTAACCATTTATTTCATATCTATTTATAGTTTAAATGCAATAATTGTGGCGAAGAGTCCGATAAATGGATGTATTTGTCACTTGAGGTACACTATTGTGAGAATATATAGTGAATTGATTGTTGATTATAACGAGTTGTACACTATTTGGTCGCTATTATGTACACTATAGGAGACATTCCCGATGAAGGGCAGCAAAGGTGAGGCACATCTGGTGACCAAATGCAAGATGTGTTCACGTGATTGTTCTGTCGGTAATTGAAGTCACGATTCGCTGTCTTATAGTGTTTTGATTTGAGATGTGTTTCCCAAACCGTTAGACATCTTATCGGATATGATATCGAAATACACTAATGAAGACTCGAATACATTTAAGACAATCGCCGCCTTTGACTGCAGGGGTCTCTCAATCATCGACTACTCGCCGAGGATTGGGTTCGTCTGCGAGGGCACAGACAGTGGCACCGCTTTCGATGACGTGAACCTCGAGGACAACGATTGGGTCGATTACGACGAGAAGAGTAACGCTTCCGTTCGTGTATATGATCTTCAGTTCAAATTCATTACAATGAAAGGCAAATGAAGGCACAGTTTATATACACATGTATTCATTATATTTATACCCTAATTGTTATCTATATTTGTAATTTTGAAATGATTTTATTTTGAAGTTTTAATAAATGGTTTCGTTTGAGTTGTTTTAATGTGAAACAAATTCCTAAACTCTTAATCTGAGATGTATTGAGATCTATGAGATCTGAGATGAGATTATATCAAATCTCTATAATTCATAAATAGTTTTATTTAAATGTAATTAATATGAGATATAAATTGATGGCAAAGTTATGGTCGAAATGATGTGATTATGATTTTAAACTTTAAATATTTAGCTGCCGTACCAGATATGGGCGTAGAAATGATTAATTTATAATCAATTTATACCGTAAATCTACAATTTAAAAATGCTATATTTTTACAAGTATATGAAAACATCGAATAACATGTTTTCGGCAATATTTTTATAATTTTGGGCATAATTTACGGCAGTTTTCTCAAAATATGCTAAAATCGAGAAAATATGTCATATTTTGAGTTTATTGTGAGCCTTAAACCTAATGGTATGTATCAATAATTGCCGATTGTTTTTGTTAACTAATTTTATCCGGCAATACCGAAGAGGTGACAATCAATTTATAACACTGTTAGTACAAATACAGGTACAAGTAATAAAACACTGAAACAACTAAATTGTAAAACAGTCAAAATAATTACACAATAATCAATATTTTTTTCTATAATTTTAATTTTATTCTACATTTCTTTCAATTTCCATATAATTGTCTCCAAACTTAACTTTAAATTTTGAAATAACAATGAATGCCATTAATAATAATCACATTATAATATCATATCATGCTTTTAAAATAATTTTCATTCATTTGATTAACAATTTATAATTTGAAATAACAGTAAAACTTAACTTACAATCAATGAGTGTGTCTTAACATTAACTTTAATATAATTAAAAATGAATTTTATATTTATTATGAATTTATATCACTTAAAATCTAATTTGTGACCTAAAATGAGCTAAAATTGAATAATTAATTAACTTCTATAATATATATTATGATTTAATAGTCATTAAAATCTTTAAAATCCCAATAAAACGATTGATGCAAATGTGAACAATAAGTGTCTTAACAATCAATCAATTAACTAATGTTTATCCAAAGCGAATAAACATGTGATTTAAAAACAAAACAATTTTCCTTATATTTCTGATAACAATAACTTTGGTTTGATTTCTTGTTTTTCATTAACAGAATATTAGACTAGAATTTCCTTTTCATTTAAAACTTTGAATATAATAAGAATCGACGCAAGAATTATGACTGAAAAAAACAAATATCAGATATTCAGTGCATAATCTGCTGAATCAACAAATCTAATCACAATTAAGAATAAAATATATCATAAAAATTAATAATTAATAGTAATTGAAATGAAATATTTTCAATTCAATCGATGGCACCGGAGTTATTGACTTAAGTTTCCTTTTCTTTTTTGTAAACCTTTTTGTTTCGTGTGATTTGTGACTAAAAATAATTGAAAGCAAAAGTATCGTTGACTTATATATAGAATTATAGAGCGCTTAATATATATTGATTTGGTTTTTGTCGGAGAAGAAGTGTTAGCCGAAGAGGTTTAGAGGGATTTCTCGATTTTGATGAGCTCGAGGATGCCGTCCTGCATCTCCCGCACGGCCTGGTATTCAGTCAAACCCATACGGCGTTTGTTACTGATGTCATAGACGCCGCCCTCGCTCTCGGTGTGCTCACCGCGAGTGCCTCTGACCTGGAGGTTGTATTTGCCGGCCACCTCTTCCAGCTTCTTGCGATCGGCGGCCAGTTTAGGCAAATTGATGTGAACACTGGCTCTGATAGTAGTGCCCAAATTGGTCGGACAGAACGTCAAGAAACCCAAACGATTGTCTCGCGAGAACGGAATCTTCGCTTCGATGGTCTTCACGGCTGTCACCAAACGGGTGAAGATCTCCTTCAAGTCACCGCCCTTTTGCATACTAATGATACGCAAGTGATCTGCAAATCAGTGAGTTTTGGTAGCGTTTAATTTGTGTCTTTCAATCGCAATGTGTGTTTCAATGCATACCCTCTTCGTTGATCCAAACGAGGAAAGTCTTGGCGTCGTTGTGATAGATGCCCCGACCAGTCGGCCAGTATCGGCACGCGTTAGCAGCCTGAAGGAATCTGTTATATTTAATATAAACAATTAGTTTTACCACAAAAAACTTTAAAATATGACATCTGTTTAATACCTGTCGCCTTCCTTGAAGAGGAAGTGATCGTCGATGAGCTGCTGTTGAGTCTTCTTATCCATTCCGGTGAGCGGAAAGTAAGTGCCCTTCAAGTCGCCGCTCAAAGTAGTCAACTGACCCTTCACTTTGTCCTCCATCTCTTGGTATTGCTGTTTGGATACAAAAAAATAATTATAATTTGTCGCACGAAAACTTGAATCTCGTAACCGACCGCTTGGGTTAGGCATGGGTTGAATGGATAGCCCTGAAGACTGCGACCGCATCGGACACGAGTAGAGATGACAAACTCGTTGTTGGGGTCGACGTTAACCAGAGTGTTGAGATCGCCGAAGTCGGTCTGCGGGTGTTTGTCAGTAGACTTGAAGCCTTCGTGATAGTCCTCAATCACCGGATTGAACAGCTCAGCGAACAGAGTGTACGACTCGGCGTCCTTTCATTGGTATGCGAAACAAGTTTTTGGGTTTAATTTTTAATGTAAATAAAATGCTTGATATGATAGATGACATACCGGTGCGTATACTCCGCAACCAGAATCCAAGTTCTCCACTCCTAATTGGTTAAAAAAAAAGAGATGGGTTTGAATTAAAGCGTTAATTAGATGTTTTGTGTTTTGTTATTTTTCCTATCAATTAAGTAAATTTGAATAAATATTTACAAAAACTTATTTGCAACACAAAAAAGTGTTAACAGTATTTAGTTCTACAGAAACATTGCCGTGTTTTTTCACTATTGAAGTGATTACAAATCCCGGATTCTTGATAAATGTGATCTAAAAATAGACATATTTTGATCAAATTTTATTTTATTTTTTATCTCTTTGTATTTTGACGAATGACTACCAAATGTAATATATTTTTAAATCTAATTATTATTTTTTATGATTATTTAAAAACCATAATCATAGAGCGATTTTGCGTTTCAAATGCTTTAATTGTATTTAATTCTTAAATTCAAGCCAAACATGGATTTCGACACAACTTTTTTTGTTTTAATTTTAGAAACAATTCTATTACTGAATACTCTTTCGCTGAATCCGACACTTTCGCTACAGAATCGCTCAAATAGTGTGCAGAATATGACTGTATTATAACCACTTGAGTGCCACTAACAGCATAGGGTGTCTTGGAGGGAGCACTAACTAATTTTGTTGGCACAGTTTACCAAAATGCTTTTGTCTCCAAAAACTGTTCTACCAAATCTATTTTGATCTATTCCTTGCAGTTTAGGCCTAATTTTTATGCCAAATATTCAACACAAACGGAATATTACACTAATAGAGTTGCGGAATATTCTTAACCGCTTTATTCGTAGAACCCATTAGTAAAACGATGTTAAATTTATTTAACAAAGAAACCAATTTTTCTATTCATTGGTATTTAAAAACTAATTATCGTTATTATTAAAATCACAATATATTCTGTGCGCAAAAGGACTTTGATATCAATTGTCTTCACAAATGAATGCATAGAATAATACAATTCATAATCAATTTGTTAATTATAAAAACTGTTAACAAATTAAGAGATAATACTTGCGATTAGTATTGTTCTCACAATAGTTGCAAATGAAAGCTATTTTTAGCAAAACCTTTGGACGAGTAAAACATTATTGCAATTTAAAATTTAATTAACCACTGTTATGAGTGAAAACAGTATATTTATGCTAAAAATAAGCATTATATGTAAATGTCAATAAATTCTTCATAAAATTATTGATCCCTTAATTGATTTATTCCTGAATGTGATGCTTAGTTGACATGATTTCTATATCACTCACTATTCAACGAGCAATTTGTATGAATAGATTTTGCTTTGAAAAACAAATCGGAAAAACAATAAATAGTGTAATAATAAAACATATTTGCGAAGCATTAGACACAAGGAATTATGCAATTTTCATATATTCTATACGATTCAGTTGTAAGAATTACGTGACATTTACTATTGTCTTAATGTTATAAATAAATATATTTTTATAATTAGTGTTTCAATATACTGTATATCATTCAATAATTTATACTAACTTTACTCTATGGTAAATTACCTTTACAATTTTATACATTAAACAATAGATTTTTTAAAACTCATATTAACTTATGATTTAATGAGTATTACCACTATTAAACCTCCCACTTATTAAACAACAATTAAAACTATAAAAATCATGTCACTTATTCAATGATAAGCTTTTATTTGTAGTGAAATTCTGGAAAATTTTATGAAATATTTACTTAATTGCAAGTAAAAGTTAATTGTGAATCACATTAAGACAATTTTTAGCCTTATCTGCAATATATTTATTATATAACTTATAATGTATTTTGTTATCTTATGTCTAGAGTTATAAAATGGGGTTACAATCGGGTGTTTATACTGTAATGATATAACCATAGCTTTATATAACCCTCTCCTCACTGTCAAGGCTTCTCTCGCTTCTGTCTTATCAGTCAAGGCTTGGAGGGAAGGAATTGAAACCATTTACTGATTCTTTGGTGTATTTAAAATTAGTTCATAAGAAATATTTGTTTCTCTAATTAAGCGAAAACTTATTTAAACCATTTTTTGTAAACGAGTGTTATTTTAGATGAAAAAATTAAGAGTTATAAAAAATAAAACCAATAATTTATATATAAATACATATATTCCGAGCCTTAGTAACGGCGCCCATAGAAGTCGATAACAAATACGAGTAGTTAAAGAGAGTGTCAGAATTGCTCGGAAA